TTCGATAGCGTAGCAGTCATTCCACACGGTGTGGAATGACAGCTAGCTTCATAACTGAACCATTTTTCTCTGAATAGCAGTCGACAGCTGGACTACCGTGATTGCAGCTCGCTTAGAGTCAATGTTAAAATGTTTCGTGATACATGAACTGAAGTACCGTGGCATTTTAGATACTACGATTTTCATGCAGGGCTGGGCCCCACCGCACAGTTACTTAGTTTGTGTTTGTGTGGGATTATGGCAAAGCCTCGAGGGCTATCTGCCTTAAGGGAGGGATGCCTTCGTGGAGGATTTTCTAAGGGAAACTGGCTCATATACACGTTACACATGGGGAAAACCACGAAAACGCCCATGCAGCCAGCCCGTTCGCGGGATTCGAACCACGAACCGAACTACCAGTGTTCAGCGACTTTACCGCTCGGCCACTGGTGGGCCGCACAGTTACTTAGAAAACATTTCACGAATGAACATCTTATAGGCCAACACTTCCCCTCTTCCCACCAGACCTCAAACCTCTGTGACTGTTAGCTATAAGGTTATTTCAAAAGCACTGTTTATCGTGATAATCTAAACAATTTGGCAGAAATGAAAAATGTGATACACCGACATGTTCGTAATATTCCTCCTGATATGCTAAGAGCTGCTGTTGAGAATGCAGTAACAGGATTTAACTTGCTTTCAGAAAATACTGGACGTTACATTGAACGTGCTTTGCAACACATTTCGGAAACACTTAAACACATTTTAAACCGATGTTTTCATATCTTATTTCATTTAACAATATTGCATACAGCACCATTTTTTCCCCGGTGGTGAGTTTTTAAACTTTTTTTTTTTTCCACCAAAAATAAATTCCCATAACCTCCTTTACATGATTCCCAAGTGTGATAACATTTGGTCCGGTAGTTTTCCTTTTATGATCATTTCAAAGTGGAACCTTTAATCTATCAACCACCATGTAAATTAAACTTTAATTGATATTTTAAAACAAATTGGACAAGAATGCAAAATTTATGGAAAGTCTATGACAATCGAAAAATCTTAATTTTCTTGTGGTGAGCACTGAAAATAACTGTAGAAGGAAAGAAGAAAATTAGGGAGAAAGTAAGCAAAAATTTGCAGGGAAATTTGGCTGTCAGACATACCAAGATGTTTCAAAACGTTGGACGCTTTTGAAGATACTTTCAGGATACTTCAAAGAATTTAGGTGTTCAAAGAGACAACACTTGGACGTGTACACCAGCAAATACCATCAATTGAGCTTGTGTTAACAGAAAAGACAAAAACGATATCATTGCAGATTAAAGTGAAGAGTGACTGGTTTTAGACTATACGGTTGTATAAATTTAAATTACGTTATAGAACATAATATCGTATCATAAAAGGAGAATCCCCCGATTTCTCAATTGAATTATTTGAAGATTCAGGAGTTTATCCAGTGATATATGTGGATTTCACCTAAAGACGTTTTTTTCACTCCTGATGAAACAGCGGCCAAGCGGTAAAGTCGCTGAACACTGGTAGTTTGGTCCGAGGTTTGAATCCCCATGAAAACGCCCATGCAGCCAGCCCGTTGGCTGCATGGGCATTTTCATGATTTTCCCCATGTGTAACGTGTATACGAGCCAGTTTCCCTTAGAAAGTCATCCACAAAGGCATCCCTTTCCTTAGGCAGATAGCCCTAGTATGCTTTTTCATAATTAAATAAACCAAAACCTCCTGATGAAACCAGTCTTTCCTTTTATCTCATACCTTCAAAATGCTTAGCTTCTAAAGACTGATAAAGGCTCTGATGAAATGGATTGAATTGGATTATTAAGTTATGCAAAGCAGGGCTATCTGCCTAAAAGAAAGGATGCTTTCGTGAAGAAATTTCTAAGGGAAACCAGCTGGCATACATGTTACACATGAGAAAATCCCCGAAAACGCCAATGCAACCAGCCCGTTTACTGGGATTCGAACCCTGGAGTGAACTACCAGTGTTCAGCGACTTTACCGATCAGCCGTTTGTGGGCCTTTATGAAATGGAAGGTGCTAACTTTATTTAAAATGATTGTCAGAAATACCAAGATGTTTCGAAAAGTTGGATGCTTTTTAATATAATTGCAGAATGTCTAAAGAAAAAGAGCAAGAATGAAGCAGAATGAAGAAAAAGAGAAGAAAAAATAAATTTTTGCGTAAAATTTAGTATTTCTACTTTTTTTTAATTTAAAACTTTTTAATCTTATGATATTTGTTTCTTGCGATTTCAAAAATAAAATATTTGATTAAAATATGAATAACATTTTAAGAAACCAAATGTAGGATAAAATTGTGTAAAGCAATGGGCATAATGATAAAACTGTTTAAAGCAGTGTATGCAAGTCTATCTAAGTTAAAATGTCGGTTATACATCTTCTCTCCTTTATATATTTCTTTTCTGAATGGAACATTGAAAGGCGCGTTAACTGTGCTTTACTGTATTTTCTCTTTTAATATATTGCAGTTTTCAATGCATTCGTAGCTTGGGGTCACAAAGTATTCTTCCGAAAGAAACGCAATTCAAATAAATAAAATAAATATTCTGGAAAATTTATATTAAGTAAATATATTTAAAATGCTCAGTTCGAATGAATAAATAGAAATTTTTAAAACAGTTATTCGAAAGAAATTATGCAATGTAAACAATTAAAATAAATTCGAAAAAGAAAAAAAATTGCTTAAAGTTTATAACAATTATAGGTACTTTTCCGTTTTGCCGGCACAAACGATAATGGTTTAACTGATAATGGCCAATAATGGTTTAACTGATGCCAGACGAAATATCTTCGCTGGTAACCTTTTACGCCTCAGTTTCAAAACAAGTTGAAGCCATTTCTTATCAGATTGTTTCTTTCAATACTGGCATATAGAATTTTTACACGATATTTAAATTTTATCCCCTAAGACAATTCACGGTGATAAGTCAATTAGTTCTAAGTCAATTAGAACCGATTACACCGCTCATCCGAAGGCGAAATCAAGTGTTAAATTCATCAATTCTAATGAGAATGCACTAGCGAAGTAAAGCACTGCGGTTTTACATAATTTCTGAGTAAGCTATTCGTACAAATTGAAATAATTCTTGCATTTAAACTTGTATTCCAAATTAAGATTTAACTTGAAATTAATGTAGATAATTACTGAGCGAATTAGATTTTAGTAGCGTAGTTTACGTGAGATGAGATCACTTGGGGTCACGTCATACGAACCGGCGAATCAGGATTTTGAACCATGAAATCATAGTAAATTCTTAAATTAATGTCTTTTTACAAATTTATTGTCTTTATTTATTGGCTTTTTACAAAATTTTAAACCATATTAAAATGTTTATGCCTTCAAAATAAAAAAAAATTCTTAGAATTAACATTTTTTATGTGTATACTGTATGTTGTCGCCAACAAAGTCTGCTTGGCGAGATTTGCGCCGGCGAAACGGAAAAGTACCCAATTATAATTAAAAATATAAGATGTATAAAATATAAATTATTTAAAAGAAGGAACGATTGGGTCTTTTTTTCCTCTAACGCACTATGTAAAAATGGAAATGAAAATAGGTTGCCACATTTTAAGAAATTCGCCAAGTGAACTAATTTTGGCACAAACTGAATAAAAAGCGCCAACATAAATTGTTGAATTTCTCCGTAAATTTCACACCAAATTTTACAAAATTTAATATTAGGCATAATTTGAGTCGTAGAATCGAAATATGCAAAAAAATCGGTATGTCATTTCTGAAAAAGTCCGATTTTGTGTCAAAATTCCTATGTTAGAATAGTGCTATATATAAATCTAATATATATCCCAAGTCGCACTTTCGCGACATAAAGAACGCAATTTGAATTTCGTGATTCGGACCAGTAGAACGGGAGATATAGAACTGTCCCATTTTTTTTAGCAGTGTACATCTTTCAGATGGTTTTAAATGCTACCATTTTGTTTATCCACTGCCAATTGTTCCCAAGAATAATGTAATGAGAGAAGCTAAATTTGCGCATGCGTGGATGCGTCTACAACTTTCCCGCGCTGTCCTCCTGCTCGATTGATATCCCGTATTCGCTCTGCTTGTTTTGTCACAGTGAAATCTTCTGTAGAACGCCGCTTCGTTTTAGCTTCGCTCTGAACGGTCGACACTTATCCCAAACTCGGCGTAAAGTTGAAAACTTTGAGCCCTATGCCACGAGCCCTAAACCAGATTTTGTGATGTAGCACAGACTGGTTGCTTGGCAATGGAGCTCGGCTTTAACCACTTATGCCTTTTACGCCCCCGTCTGAACGAAGCTTTACAGTCCCCCAGGCAGTAAGTGTACACTTTGGGAAAAACTTCTAATACATATGTTTATGTCAGTCTATGAAACGTTTTACAAAACAAACCTTTTTAATCCTCCAAAATGTCAAATTTTGATTTAAAGATCATATGTTTTCATTAAGAAATTGTGGCTATTTTTTATTTATGCAAAATTATGTTTCTTCTGCTCCACTACTAACTTAAAGATTTTTTATGCATTAGCTATAAATTTTTCAACATTGCAGCTTTCTGAATAAATTATATATGCTTGTAACAACTTTATAAAACAAAAGCTGCTCTGTAATCACTTAAAAACTAGCTGATATTCTGACATCTAAAAATAAATTAACTTTTAACACGCTATACACAGTAACCAAGTCTTCATGATAAAATATCATGCAGCAATATTCTAAGCCTACATTTAGTGAACAGTTTATGTTCCATTACTACTATTGTTACTACAGGAAAATTAAATATACAATATAAAGTTGAATCTCCTGTTATCAGATAAATGATTTTGATTTGCTATTAGAAAATGTCCACTAAATAGGATTGCATGGTTTCCAAGGGTCCAAGAATAACCTATTAATGGGGAAATATCTTCTAACAAAGGTTCTAAACAATATATTTGAAATTATAAATCATCTAGCATCTTTACAGAATTTCAATGTTTGAAAATAAAATTTTTAACTTACCTGATCTTTCACACGTGTAACAAATCCTTTAATTCTCCAGTCAACAAATGGTGGCAAGTGACAATTCTGACTACATGGATTTTCATGAAATTGGCTGCTATGGTTACTAGCTCTTTGGCCTTTTCCATTGAAACATTTTCGGTACACATTGAGTTCATCCACTGTCTGTAAGAAATAAAAAAGTTCACTCAAATTATTAAAATACACTTAACTATAAAAAATAAGAACACTTTTAAGAAAATCTCCATCAATTAAGATCAGATTCTGAAGATGCACAGAAATGCCAAAGGTATTAAAATCTAAAATAATGACGAAAAATATATTAAAAATAAGGACCTACCATAAGCACACTTTTATAATCAAGGAAGGCAATTATGTTACATCCTTAATTACAGGAAATGTACTGAAAAATTTTAATTGCATTTATTGTATTTTTGGAGTTCACTTACAGAATTCATTCAGTTCATACAATTACAGAATTCATGACACATATAATTCACATTTTGTGATGCAAAATCATTTTTTAAACATTTGTTTTCTTGATTAATAAATTCCTATTTACAGAATTATGTATGAATATTGAATTGCATAAAAATTCAACTTCTTGAATAAATTTAATGTTTGTTTAACCAGTACCAATATATTTTTATAAAAGTTATTTATTTCTGTTCATGTTAAGAGACTTAGTTCTCTACAAAAGAAAGTGCAAACCAGCCTTGTAGGCAATTTTATGTGTAATTTAAATATCAACTGAATTTTTCCATTGCTAGCGAGAACACAAATACTATATTCACACAGGGAGCCTCTTATGTACATAAAACCTCTATTTTAAAAGTGATTCTTATTGACCACATTCTTTTGTTTTTTCTACAGTCAACAGATTTATCTAGTATCAATCTGTATAGGCGAAACCTCTTTGAAGAACTTTGAAAAATCCTGACTGAGAAGAAGTCCTGGATTTCTCACTGAAAAATACAATTCCCCATAACTTTCCTACAGCTATATGTAGAGCATTTTTTTTCTCAGAAACAGTCACAGAAATAATGTAGTATGCTATCTACCACTAATTTAAGTTATTTGTTTAATTTTTTTAGAAGGCACTACAAAAATTGTTAGTTATTGAGTTAAAATAATAAGCCAAATAGCAGTTATTGAAGGAGTTAAAGTAAAAAAATTGAGCATAATAATCATAAATTTGCAGGACTGGTTTGGAAGGTTTAACATAAAAACTTCTTTAACTCCAGAGGTGCAAATAATGGAAGGAATTCCTTAAATTATCAATGGCTTTTACCAAACAAAAGCAGGAGTAGCACTTAAAAGGGCTGTTTATATGAGTAGTACAGCTGTACACACTGCAAATGTAATGCAGCATAGCCAAACAATAGTCATCACTTTCATTAACGAATCTCCATCAAAAGTCTCTGAGACAATGAAGAAATATTTGAGGTGTCGTACTTACATGCTGTGCAGAATCTTTAGCTTCAGAATCCCTAACATAATTCAATTATGTATATACAGTCAAAAGTCGTTAATCCGGACGCCCATAATCCGGAATGATCTATAATCCGGGCCTCAAAGCTACAAACTTTCTGCGTATGCGTCAACGCATAATGCGTTCACGCATGCGCACATGCATGTACATAATGCGTTTACGCATGCGCGTTTAATGTATAACGGATGGTATAAGCTGAGCTAAAATGATCTAATTAACTATTTCAGTTAATGTTGCAGATTGCGTTGTTCCTTAATCTTCGTGTTGGATCTGGCTTATTATTTTTTGCAGACTGTTAGAGCAATTTTATCAAAGTAAGCTTGAACTTTTGATTATGTCAAATAGAATTTCCGATGCTGGATACTGCCAAAGGATCTACAAAGCAAAATAATGTTTCAATGTCCATCAAACAAAAAGTGGAATTGCTGCAAAAAATGGATAAAGGCATATCCTTTGTTTCTCTAACCATTCCGAAATCTGTTTATCAATTTCACGCTGCTCTGCGGGGGGGAGAGGAACGTCGTGGCATGCAATGAACTGGAAGTTGATCTGTCAGCACTATCCTTATCTTCAGGGCAGATGTTTTTATTTTATTCGGCTTATAATTCCTTACTAAATGTAGTATTTCATCTCGATGTACTCCGTCTTTGATATGATTTAAATCAAATTCGTTCATTATAAATATCACGAATACACATCAAATAGTTTTCTGGTTGCAATTTTCTAATTTCGACTATGCGTAATGTATGCTTTACGCATGCGCCCATTGAAAGAAATGTTTAATAAAATAAAGAAATAAATATTAAGGTTTTTTTTTGGGGGGGGTAAATTTTGATACCCTTTAGATCATATTTGTTCTTTATTTTGTAAATTAGGGTTTCATATTTTTAATTTTATAATTTCTGCATGCCATCTTATCAGATTTAAGCTGATGATCTATAATCTGTAAAAATCGATAATCCGGAATCGCCGAAGTCTTGACGAGTCCAGATTAAAGACTTTTGATTGTATTAGCACTAACTGCAGGACTGACTAAGTTCTTCTGCTGGTTTACAATGCAATGCTTGTAGAATATGATTGCAAAAGCGGTAGATCGCATACTATGTCAATACTAATTCTTCCTTAAAAGCAATTATTTTAAAATACAAAAATATCCTTAATCACAATCTGTTTTGAAATAGAACAGTTCCACTTTTTATATTTCAATATTTTTATTGAAAAAGTACAGCTAGAAGCTAAATCTGAATTCCAATTTTAAAATCTTACTAAAATTTTTCAAGTTTTTTAATATTGGGTTTTTTAGCTCTTTGAGCGGCCAGGGTTTTCACTAAGAGAGCACAAATTTCCCAAAACTACAATAACAAATTATTTTTATGATTTTTATGTAAAAACTCTCCTGGTATTTCATACCTGGGTTTGTTTTCTTTTGATATATTGCCTTAATTTTTTTGACATATTTTAATATGCATATATATATGTTTTTACAGATATAAAAAAAAATTCTAGGCTGTGCCGCTTAGGGGGTTTATGAAAGTTCCCAACTACTGCAAATGTTGTCTGCGCAAACAGTTCCCATTGGCATGTTTAATCATACTTTGTCAAATTATTTTTGGCATTTGAAAGAAACAGACTTGCTTTAAAACACCGTATTGTGAAATTTCTAAAAAAAATATCATTATTATTTAAGCACAAGGTGTCTAAAATGGAACTATCTGTAACTTCTTGTATAGTTTGTTAAACTTGATAACTTCTATACTTTCAAAGAAGACTCAACTAACGAGTATATCTCAAGAATTCAAAATTTTATTATACATTTTTAAACAGTTCACATGGCATTCAGGTAGCACAGTAACACGTGCATCACAACAACGGAATCGCATAGCATGAGCGTCATTACAGTTAAAGTTATAGTTATTTACAGTTACAGTTATAGTTGTAGTTATTTTAAATATACATCACATCCCTTCCTCCAGTTTATAAACAATAATAAAAATAGCAAATGATATCAATACAAGTATATTCACAATATGACATACAATAACAAAAAAGTTATATAAAAATTATATATGCAATACGTTACATTATTTTATTCCATGACAAAGTCTCTATATCTTGAAGGTTGTCTAATCAACCATCCACTTCTTGTTATTGTATTATTGGATAGATTATTCTGTTGATTTCCTATATTAACAGGCACAGAAACATTTTCAGGGCTTCCACTTGAATTTTCCTCTTTATCTAATACTATATCATCATAATCATTATTAACTTTGTAAGGTGATTTTGAAAGTTTTATATGGCGTCTGTTTCTTTGCAATATTTCCCCATTTGCATTTCTTACAATATAGGATCTAGGACCTTTATCCCACTGCCCAGTTATAAAGTTGAACAAGGTTATACTATCTCCAGGTTTTAACTCAGGCAGTTTCTGTGCGGTTCTATCATAATAATATTTTTGCCTAGCTTGAAGTGCACGAAATTTAGAATAAGGTTTGTTTATCTTAGTATTTAACAATTTATTACTGATAGGTAATTTTGTCCTTAATCTTCTATTAAGTAACAGTTGTGCAGGAGACAAAATTTATTCCACTAACTGGGGTATTTCGAATATTCCATTAAGCCTACACTTATATCTTGCACTTTTCCTCATGATATTTTTCACTATTCCTAGAGCTTTTCAGCCAACCCATTACTTTGAGGATATCTGGCGGCTACTAAATTTAAGTTCGAAATCCCAATCTTCAGCAAATTTCTTAAGTAAGTAGCTATTACAGGGATTATTGTCGCAAATGACTTCATTTGCAATACCATACCTGGCAAAGATGCATTTTAACTTTATCATAATTTCATTTGCTGTCTTATCTTTTATGTTAGAAACCTCAAACCATTTAGAGTAATAATCGATAACTACTAAGTAATTTTGATTACCAAATTGCAAGATATCAAGAGCAATTTTTTCAAATGGTTTAGTTGAATTTCATGTTGCATTAGAGGTTCTTTTTGATTTCTACTTCTGAATTTTTCACCTATTTCACATTTGGAAACAAGCTGTTCAATGTCATTTGTCATACCTGGCCAGTAAAAAATTTCACGGGCTCTATTTTTACATTTCTCAATTCCAAAGTGCGCTTCATGAATTAATTGCAACATATCTTTCCTCAAACCATAAGGTACAACTAATTTTTCATTAATAAATAACAAGTCGTCATTAATATAAAGATAATTTTTAACTTTAAAGTATGTTTTTACACTACTATCTACTTTTTTGTAACATTTAGGCCAACCCTGTTTAATATATTTCATAACTATTTGCAAATCTGGATCTGATTCAGTTTCTTTCCTAAATTGCACCACTCTTCTTTCACTCATAGGCAAATATTTTGAAATAATGTGAACAACATTTAGCATTTCAAGATCATCACTGATAGTTTCATTCACAGGATATGCTCGTGACAAAGTGTCAGCAAAAAGCATTTGATTACCTGGAACATAATTTATCTCAAAATCATACTTTAGTAATTTTAAGATCATCCTTTGCATTCTAGACGAGATTTTATGCAATGGTTTCTTAACAATTGCCATTAACGGCTTATGATCACTTTGTACTGCGACTTTCCATCCATAAACAAAATTGCGGTACTTTTCAAAAAAAAATACTATGGCCAATAGCTCT